GGGACAACCAACTGCGGGTAGAGCGCGCATTTGAACGTTTTGTGCGCGCACATGGTTAACACGGCTGCAGAGTAATTCAAAAACATACAAGTAAATAAATATTCGTAGGTACTTACTTACTTGCCAATTGATATAGTGCATACCTGCACATGTGCAATTGCTTAACGGTAACAAAGTATTTTTAAGTTCAATACGAACAGCGGAAAACAAGTCTAGTAAACAACTAACCACATAAACTAGTTAGTATAGCGAAATACCTGGTAGGAAAAACTACGACTGCAAAAATGTTGCCATTGAGTTTTTATACATATTTATTTAACTAACAGGAAAATTCTGGCCCTGAAAGATAGTTTGAAAGATTTTGTGTATTCTAAATAGCATGAAAGTTTTGCAAAGAAAAGCTCTATTGCCAACTTTCATAGTGAAAAGCTCTTTTGACAGAAAGCTATCATTTTGTGCAATGAGATTCGAGTCCTAGGACAGCGGATTTTTTATTTCTTTTAATTAAATATTTTTTAACGTAATTTATTTTTAAATTTTAATTCTTATTGTTTTAAAAAGAAAAAATACTTTTTTAAATTTCATTAAATTTTTAGAAACATGTAATTTTTTTCTATGTTTAATTGTTTTTATTTTTTATTTTCATTTTATATTACATATTTCAAAATGAGAAATATTTTTTTTAAATTTAATTTAATTTTAAAGAATATATTTTTCATCGCTTTTGATTAAATTTTTGTATCTTTAGATTTTATTGTTAAAAAATATTTTATTAAAATTTCATTAAAATTTTAAAAAACTTGTGTATCTTAATTTTTTCTTTGTTTTAATTTAATTAAATTTTTTATTTTTAAGTTTTATTAAGTATTTTAAAAAAAAATTTTTTTTTAATTTCATTTAATGCTTAGGAACATATTTTTCATCTTTATTAATTTGCTTTTCATTTTAAGATTCTATTGTTTTAAGGAGAAAAATATTTTTTTTAAATTTCATAAAATTTTTACAGACGTACGTATAATTTCTTTGTTTTAATTAGATTAAATTTTTTACTTATGAGAAATTATTAAAAATATAATATGTATTTCTTATAACATTTAAGTTTTAGAAGCCGTTTTTAAAATTAAAATTTTTAGATTTTATTGTTTTGAAAAGGAAAATTGTTTAATATCTTTAAAATTTAAGAAACTTATTTTATATTTTTTTTCTTTTTTCAATTTAATATATTTTTTTATTTCTAGTTTTTACAGGTAATTGTTAACAAAATACATATGCAATTGAGAGAGCACTTTTCCTGACTCTCACCTATTTTTCCATAAACCGTCCGATATTAGTAATGCTCGCCGATTGAACCCTAACCGCATAGAATAAGTAAGTATGGAAGAAACGATGACGCGTTTTAGCTATAGCGGTACACTTGCAGGGAAGTATTCACTTCTTCATTTCACTTCTTTCAAGCCGTAAACTTTCTGAGAAATTCAGGCAAAAATCTCGAGAGCTCAAAGGTTTGTATGGCGCCCAAACAGGTCACCAATTTCGAGAATGAAAGAGCCTCAATTTCCTGCGGGGTCTGTGCTTACACTGAACCACTTACTGGGTATGTTGGCGAACGACGCCAACCGCACTTCAAGTGCGTACTAAAAAAGCGCCGAACAAATGCGCGCATTATGAAAAATGAACCATTTTTATTATGTCAAATAAAAACCATTAAAAAATGCAAACAAAAATAAACGTTTTACTAACATTTCATGTTTGTCGAGGCGGCAGTTAAATTCTCATAGCAATCGATTTACTAGTGTGATTTTTCAAATATGCGGCAAGTACAATTCAACTATGAAACAAGTAGATAGATAGATGTTCACGCGCTTGGCAAACTGCTGCCTGTTGCCTACGCGCATGCGTGCGCGCTTCCATATGGACAGCTGAACGTCCTGCTTTAGCGCGCTACGAACGCGCACCAAATGCAATGCTGGCGCCTTCATTGAGAAAACGAAACGCAGTGAGTGCGCACAAATCTCTATGATGAAATCCAAATTCTGACCATAAATTTGTGGCCTGCTGTTTGCCTTTAAACTAGATGATTGTAATGGGCAGCGTCAAGTGTGGATTGCACGCACAGCGCATGCGTACAAATGTACTGCAATGGTAACCAATTAGCTGCGACGGCTGC